TTTTTTTCCCTGTCTTTTCTTAAAATAATTAGTTACCTGACTTTATGGACCTATGAATTAAAACTATCAGAGTAATATAAATTTTAAATTTCTAGATAATAAACTTTTTTATCTTCTTGAAATTGTTTTGAAAAGTGCATAGTGATTGTTAAATGAACTTGACCTAATATTAACTTTACCAAGAATTCCATTTGCTTTAAAAATTCTGTCAAGTTGAAATGTTTTTTCTAAAAGTTAGAAATACGAAAATTCTAACGGCTAAATAAAAATGGAGAAAGCTTGGATGGATGGATCTCTTATTTAACTTAAAAGACTAAACTCGACACTTTAAATCAAATTAAGAACCCTTCAAAACCGCCCTCCAAGCTTCGTTAAAAAGCATGGATTAACTAGAAATAGAAAGATGTATGAGCGCACAACGACGCAGCAAGTAAGATGGCGGAAAACTCTCGCGGTTGCTTCACCTTGAAAGGAGTGGGCTAATGGGAGTGTCTTCTCCAGCTCCATGAGTCAGTGTAAGCAAACCAAGAGGTGAATGGGATCTTCCGATTTGCACTCAAACTACAAATTCCGAAGACGCAAAACAATACTGCCGGAGAGCAGTAAAGTTCCTGCAGATGAAAGACAACGTGAAACCGTGAAGCTTATGTAGGCAAACATGCTGCTCACCGCAGGTTGCTAGTAATGAATAATTAAAAAAAAAGGCTTGTTTATTTAGAGGAAATAAGTTTTTGTGTCTAATCTTGAAGCTTAAAATATCGTCTGCACAAATTATTTACATATTTAATGTTAGTATATATAATTAGTTGCATATATAATATTTAATTTCCCCGAAACATTCAGATTTCCTCATAATAAATGAGAATCCAAGCGTTCGATTAAAGTTATGTAAATGTTCCTCTTTTTTGTTTTAGTTAGACCCTGAGCAGAGAGCAAAAAAAAGAAGGAATCATTCTGAATAACTTTCATTTTGATGGTCGAGTTTTCACGTACTAAATGTAAATCATAATTATTCCAAGGGGTGATTTCAATTATGCTAATTAATTAGTGCTAACTATTAATTAGGATACGAAATCAGACACTAAAACGTACTTTTTCTAAATAAGCATCTCATTTTTTTTTTACATATGTCTGACCCTTGAAATATGGAGTGAGGGAGTAGACGCAAGTTGTGGCCTTTATAGTATAGTCCCTTTAATGTTAATTTCATTTTTTGTGGTCATAACTTTAAAACGAACTGAGCGATTTCAGAAACATTTGCATCCACTGATGAAACCAGTTTACTCAAAAGTAATTTCTTACAAAACATACTTTTTAACATTTATTATTAATTTATTAAAATGTTTTTATTGAGTGGAAGTGAAATTAATTATATATCTAAAAATAATTTGATGACAATGAAAAAATATTTAAATTTAGTGATTAATATTTAAATATGGTAAACTTACCAGGAACTTAGCTAAAACAAACATAGCGTTCATTCATGATTTTTCGTTGATGGACAATATTTTTTTCTTCTTTTTTATTTATAAAATGTGGTATTTCTTTTTAAGTCTTCTTTAAATTTCGTCACAGGTTTTTCAAATCTCATTGCAGTTTTAAGGGATTTTTTTTGCTATTTTTTTCCATTTATTTTGCTTTACGTTACATTTTGTTTTGCTGCTTGAAATCTATAACATTCAGAAACTTGAAATCACTAAGGTGTGTAGAAAAAGTTTCAAGTAATTTAATGGAGCAAAAAAATTTAAGATCTTCGATTATTATTTAAGAATTATCAACTGTTAAACTTGAAATAGTGAAAAAATATGTATTCTGTTCTAATCCCTGCTGAAATGCAACCATAAAATTGAAATTTGACATGAGTCATTTTTTAATTTTAAACGTAACGATATTTTGTTTTTAAAACTCTTATCTTTTTCAAAGTCATTGCATATTTGCGCGCTTTTTTGCGAATCTTTTCCCACTTTTTTTGCTTTTGTTTTTCTGGGCGAAATCTATATGACTTAGAAATGACAAATATGAATAGAAAACAAGGAATTCGATGTAAATAATAATTGATGAATTAAAATTGAATGAAAATCGTGTCTAATTGAAAGTTTTCTGAAAAATTCAAAATTATCAAGTATGCTGGATTGACAGCACAATTATAACAAGAATAAAAACAGAGGAGGGTTACTCTAGAAAAGCATTTTTAAAAAGCTTTTAATTAAAACGTTGGGATACAATTTTCTGTAAAAGGAGCTATTCACCAAATTCAATTTTAGCCGGGGAGGTTGGGTGATTGAGTTAGGTATCATTGAATCTATATTTTGAAACTATTTCTTACGTGTTCTTTTAGATTTTTATCCGATGCATATTTTACGAAATATCTGGCCTTCCTTTTGGGCACCCTGTATAGTTTTTTTTAGCTTGCATGTAACTTGAAACACAGCTTTTCATTGTAATTATTTTTTCATAAATTTTTAATAGTAGGTGATGATCAAGAAGAACTCAAAAGAAAGAAAAAATCATCAATTACGTCTTAAAAGTGCTACTTACCACAATAACTGCAATTTTAATAAACATCCTTTGTGATAAATCCTACAAAAAAATAATTTCAGAAATTAAATTAATTGATTATAAAAGATGAATTGATTATAAAAGATGAAATTCAATTCAAAAGATGAATATTTAAATTGATTATAAAAGATGAAATTCAATTTATGATTACTATATATTCGGATTTATTGTACAGTGCGAGAACAAAAAATGGACCACCCTGAATAACTTTTAATCTAGTGATCAAGATCTTTACGTTCTATAACTCAATCTTAATGGTTCGAGAGGGTGACCCCAAATTAACTAATTAATCAATGCAGACAATATATTAAGCCTCGAAATCGGACACAAAAGCGTACTTTCTCTGAATAATCATACCTTTCTATCGACGGATTCCGATTTCTGAGCCTCAAAATATAGAGGGTAGCCGCTATCTGGGAAATATGGTCCCCATAGTTTGATCAGGAGAGGGGCCAAAGTTTGGATCCCTTAATGTTAATTTAATTTTTTGCGATTTTCGCTTTATCTCGAGAACTTTTTTAGTGAAATGAAAAAAATTTGCATTTAACTATAAAATTTGTTAGTCCAAAGATAATTTTACGCAAAAAACATTTTTAGTAAATATTTAGAATTTTTTATTATTTTATTTAGTAATAATCGAAAAAATTTTGAATTGTAAGGTATACATTTTTTTACACCATTTTAAAGTATGTAATTTTAAATGGCAAGTTACAAAATTCAACCGAAATCGGTTGAATAGTTTCGGAGAAATCGAATTTTAAAAATATGACTTTCTTAAAATTCGATTTCTCAGGAACTATTTGACCGATTTCGCTCATATTTTTTTGTCATAGAAATTCCAAATTTTAATATGGTGCAAAAATTTTTTTAACTTTCAATTCAATTTTTATTTTTGTTGTTACTAAATAAAATAATAAGAAATAAAAAATATTTATATATATATTTTTTTTTTGCTTGAGATTATCTTTTGACAACAGAATTTTATAATTTTGTGCAAAATTTTTCAATTCTCTTAAAAAGTTATCGAGATATAGTGAATTAATCAATCAATCAAATATCGTTACAAAATTTGGACCCCTTTATGTTATTTTACATTTTGCGTATTTTGTAATATCTCGAGAACGAAGTGAATTTAGCGAATTGAAAACTTTTTGTTTTAGTTATAAAATTCGTTTCTCCAAAGATAATTCCATACAAAAAATGAATTTTAGTAAATATTTATTGCTTTTATTATTTTACATTTTGAAATTTTATGGAATTTTTGAAATTTTTTACGCTATTTTAAAGTATGTACATAATTTTACATGGCAAAATGCAAAATTTGAGCAAAGTCAGTTAAATAGTTCCTGAATTATCGAATTTTAAGTATACGAATGAATTTGGATGTATATAAAAATATGTATATTTGTTATAAATATGATGATATATGATATTATATGATATTATAATATGATGTATATTTTGCGTATAATTAGATTAAATTAAATTAGATCATACAAAAAGGTTGTCGGAGAAGTGAAATTGAAGAATGGCCATAGAAAAACAAAATTTTAATGATTAATCTTGATTAAATTACGATTTATTTTATGAAATACATAAGTAAAATGAATATACTAATAAAAACACGCAAAGTACTTACAAAAGATTTATTAAAAATGAAGTTTAGTATGATAGACTTCGAAACAAGACTATTCTTTGGTCTTACTGTGCAATCTTGGCACCAATATCGCATTTCTTTGCATCATTTTTTCGAACAAACAGCACCCATTCGAAACAAACAGCACCCTCGCGAAACGCTTCCTTTTGAAATGAAAGCGCAAAGTGCTGCAAAGCATGCTTGTATAATTTGCAGAAATTTGGACAACCTACGCCATCTGTTAATCCAGCTCTGAATAAAGAATTAAACATTGCCAGAATGTAACCATGAACGAGAAAAGCAACGAGCTGCATAGATGAATAGAGAGAGAAAATGATGATGATGAAAAATGATGAGATGGGAAAAAATGCATGACCCCGGAAATCCTGCGTTGAGTCACAGTGGCGTACATAGACTCTTGTGCCCCCCCCGGAAGATTTATAAATGTGCCCTAGCTTGGACTTAACACAATTGTTTAAAAATTAATACACTGCTCAAAACAATTAAAAGAAATTGTAAGTCTTGTGTAAAATAGCAGTATAAGCAATTTTTCATATAAAATGGAGGAAGAGAGTCACAAATGTAAATTTTTCTTATTTTTAAACTTCGCAGTATGCAAAATTTGAGTTTGAAGTTGATGACGACGCTTTAGAGGCAGAGAATTTGATTTGGTTTTCTACTTAATGTAAGATAAAGCGGAAAAGAATGATCGACATTCAGTAAGGGCGTTGTTTCGATGAATGTGATGTCCCAACGAAGTCATTAAACTGAATTAGAAGCTTGGAGACCGGTTAGAGGGAGGGGGGCTGGAACATCCACCATACAGTCCAAACCTTTCACAGTGTGACTTTCATGTTTTTGGACCTCCAAAACAGGCTATACGCGGACATCGACAAACGACGACGTGTGTGACTAGGTCCAGGCCTGGATCCGTCAGCAGCTTACTAGCTTCTTCAAAGATGGAATCGAACGACTAAGTGTCGCAATGGGAAAAATGCGCCAACAGTTTTGGAGACTACTTTTGAGTATGTGCACTGTGTATTACTACATTTGTGAGTTAATTAAATCGTTACCGTTACTTTACACTAGTGGTCGGGTTTCATTTGAATGCCCTCATACATTACAAAGTTTGCAGTTATCCGAGATTTTCTGAAAAATTAGACTGTCATGATTTTTCCCGACTTTCAATTTTTGCCCCGATATTCTAGAATTTTGTGCACGTTCAGAACACCACTATTTTCTACTAAAGTAATCAAGAATTCAAAATAAAAAAGAAAAAAGATTCGAATCGAATCGCAGAATACAGAAATATAGATTTTCGATCCAACATCTTTTTATTTTAATTAATAATGAAAATTTGATGACTCAATTAATAATTTTACATAATCTAATTTTTATGAGGATGAATTCAAGTTCATGTACATATTTATTATTTTCAGCCAATCCAGCAACAAATCATGGATGTTGAATTTCGTAGTTTCGCAACAATCGTTTCTTAAGATTTAAAAAATGAGTGCTTGCTATCAATACAGTGGTCATGAGCCGCACTGGCTCAGGGGATAGAGCGTTCGCCTTCCAATTATGCGAACCGGGTTCGAATTCCGGTAATGGCTGGTCGATACAAATTCCGCATCCGGCTTGCACCCATCACAGTGCTGACGCGAAATAACCTCAGTGGTAGACAGTTCATGGGTTAGAGATCTTTTGCCGTCAGGCTAGCCGTAGGAGGTTCTCGGGGTCATCCTCTCCATGTAACGCAAATGCGGGTCAGTTCCACCAAAAAATCCTCCATGGAGGCAAATTTCTCCCAATGATTGATACAGGAGTTCCCTTGTCTTCTGGATTGGGTTCAAAATTACAAGGCTACGGAGTTGAACATTAGTAGTCGTTAACTCAAAAAATTGGGTCGGCTGTTCAACGACGGTTATAAAATTATAAAAAGTGCAGTAATCATATCATAGAATTTTTAAAGGGCAAATTGAGGGATCATTTAGCAAATTAAAAAATTTTTTTTAAATTTTTATTTTTTTAAGACTATTGAACCCTTACTTTAATATTATTTGACTAAGAAAGTACTGAACTAGATTAAAAATCTTAATCAAATATGAAAGAATAGTGACTAATTAATGCTGCTTTTTCTTTTTATGCAACATTATTTTAAAAATTTTTATAAATTGATATGAAGCTATTATGAATTGTTCAGTGTTCTATTAATTAAATTGTTCTGAAAAATTTAAGACTTTATGTTCTAAATAAAATAATTTTGAAAAGAAAAAAAGCATATTTTATGATTCTTAGAAACAAATGTTTTCTTTGGTTGCACTTAAGTAAAGCAAATTATATTTTTTTTTAAAGTAGCGTGGAAAAATGTAGTATTATATTTTTGTAAAAGTAGTATTTTTTAAAAAGGAGTGTAAGTATATTGTTTTATAAAGAAAAATGTCCTGTTTTTCTTCTTTTCTTTCCCCGATTCTGAGGCCTGAACTGCCCGCTTGGAATACACTCAGTTATTTTCTAAAAATGAAAGAAATTTCTATGACCCTCCTTCCGAAAGAAAAAAAAATTAAAAGTAATATTCTGTGCAAAATGTAGGAAAGTTAATAAACAATAAAAATGTTAACAAATATGTCTTATTTTATCACAGTCGTTGAACAGCCGACTACCACTGTTCAACTCCGTCCGTAGCCTTGTAATTTTGAACTCAATCCAGAAGGGAACTCCTGGATCAAGTATTGGAAGAAATTCACCTTCATGGAGGACTTCTTGATGGACTTCATCCGGTCTTATGATTACTTATTACGGCTCTAACAAAGAAGTCTGAATATTATGGATCATATGACATGAAAGAAACTATATGTTTTTTTGCATGTGAGTCCATTTGAAAATGAGTTTTCTCCAGAAACTTCTGTTCCATTTTGTAAATAATTTCAATTCTTTTTTCTTAACAGCGCACTAACGAAAATTAAAGAATTTTTATCGTGCAAAATTTTCTTTACAAATGACTACGTTCAATTATGAGATAGCATTAATCATCGCTACATTCAATCAATCACCAAAAAAAAAAAAAAAAAAAAAAAAAAAAAAAAAGAAGAAGAAGGAGGAGGAGGAGGAGGGAAAAAAAGGCTAACACTAGCACTGCCTTTTGTCTTTCTTTTTTTTTCTTTCCATTTTATTAAAAAATCTTTTTGCTTTTTCCTATAAAACATCAAATAAATGTTGTAATAATTTCCTTGTATCGTGTTGACAATCCCTCTATTCTCATTTCTGTAAGTTGTAAATTTAAATTTAAAATTTTACACAAATTATTACATACATTTCAAACTCGAATAATTTATCAAATATAAAAGTTTCTGAAAGATATTCACTAATGCAAAATGCGTTATTTTCTATTGAAAATTTACCGACATTTCTTCCAAAAGAAAAAAAAATCTGTGTAATGCAAACATAATCAATATTAGTGTTAATATAAGCGAAATAGAATAAAGCTTTTTATTTAAAATTCAAAAGATTATAAAACGGTTACAAAAATACTTAGTTTATGGAATTATTTTCGCTTAAAAATTATGTTATTTTTCTCCCTTTGGAATAATATTTTTGAATAAAAAAAAATCATATCAGAACTGTTTGTGGTTATAAAAGTTGTGTAAAATGCGACATTTTTAACATGAATTTCAAAGAAAATGTAAGCATATACATTTATTTTAAAAACGGATGGAAAAAAGCATCCCAAATTCTTTCGCTAAACAGAGAATATTAAAATTAATTTAGATCAATACTGTTTGATATCTTGACAACGAGTGTTTTACAAGGAGGGTTTAACAAGTGGTGTTCTATTTTAAAATCTTTTATTCTGATACTTTAGGGAATGGAGCAATATTGTTCAAATTCTTTTTCAAAATCATGTAAGAAGGAAATATTTCAACAGGCTACAACTTTGAAGATTGTAATCGACTCTATTGTTATTCACATATTTAATTGTAGTCTGCTCCCAAGACTAATAAATTACTGTTCTGTACAGAATGGTTCCTTAGAGAGACATTCGATAAAAAAATAAATATGAGATAAGATGCAAAAAAAATGAAATTTAAGTCATGAAAAATGAATTTCAAGGGTTCAAATTTGCAGCAAAGTGGCGTTTCTCGATGATCTCAGTAAAGAATCCACAAAGTAACAAAAGTCACAATAAGAGACTTTTATTTGATATCACAGACTAACATCACATTATGACCTCATTTATCCTTAGTCACACTTATTTTACTATATTCTTTTTCCTAAGTGTGGCTTTATATAAAAGTTTTCATTTGTTTTTTTTCTCTCATAATTAAAATTTCAGGAAGTATTTAGAATAATGCAAAAATGTATATTTGCTTAAAGTAATATTTGACTTCTAAAAAAATTAAGAACTGAATATTAAAGATAGAAAAAAAATATATGAATTTAATTTTTAAGGACGTGAGTTGTTAAAAATCTAATGTCTTTTGAAATAAAAGATTGAAATTAAGGAGGGCGATAATCAGAAAGCAGAATTTTGAAACAAAATTTATAAAGATTTAAAAATAGAACTTATCTTTTTTTTAAATCAAATTTTCAACGATAAAAACTCATGTCATTTCAAAATATATTCAGAAAATTTCAAAAATACATTTAAAGCAGATGATACATATTTCTTATTTAGTAAAGATAGACTAACCTTAAAATGTCCACTGATTCAACTGCAAACATTAAAGTAAGATTTAAATTGAATGTTAATAAAGTGAAAATGTTTCTCTGAAAACGTGCGTACTTAATCACATTCAAAAGTCAACTAAATCACTTTCCATATCAACTTTCATTCTCGATCAAATGATAACATCTACTTTTATTATCAGTTGAAAAACAATTTGTTTGTCCCTCCGGTTGAAAGATACAAATATTTGTGTTTTTATTTATAGCTGCCACAAATTATTGATAAGGCCACTAAAAAAGATTATTTTTTTATGCATCTGAAGTTTATTTTAATGATTATATGAACAATAGTTTAACTAATGTTTTTCTTATAATTTTACCACTCATTTGTGTTTACACATCACAAAATAAATCAATAAACGTTTTACTCAATCTTAACGGTGCATAACATGGCAATATATCTTACGATCAAATTAAGTGCAGATATATTCATAAATTTTAATTAATAATAGGAGTAATCATTATTTTCCTTAATTTCGAATATTTTGAAATTGAATAAAGGTTTCTTTAGATACTTTAGCAAAAAAGACGCATTTAGATTCCTGAATATGTATACATCTTTCTTTGTGATTATGTCTAAAATTTTTATTATTTAGAAATTGGCAAATTTGTAATTTAGTTAGGATTTTATTAATTTTGTATTTTTTAAAACTGTCTCAATAAGACGTCGTTAATTTATTATTAAAAATAACTTTCGTTCAGACTCCTAATTCAATTTAAGTTAGTTGATATTTATGAAGTTTTAATCGTAGATAATCCACACATTTGTATTGTTGTAGAAATTCTTATTTTTATTTTGGAAGTCAGTAAAAAAAAATCAGTTGCTCAGAGTAAATTGACGATACGAGTAAAAACTAACTAAATCGTGACTTTTTATTTGCTGATTACGTATTAAGTAACTTTTTTCAAGAACATATTTTTAACAAACAATTTTAGAAAAAACCTTACGCAAGGTATAATATTAAAGACAGAGTAAGAACTATTTATATCGCTAAATGCAAGATTTTCCGAGAAGACTTACCTTAATCTGTATTTTTAGATTCCTTATAAGAAATGAAAACAAAGGAAGTATATACAAATTAATATTTAAGTGAAGAAAAAAATAATCTGGAAAAATAATATCTGGCAAATTATAGCGAAGAAAAGCATCTAATATTCATTGAAAGAGGAGAATAATCTCTCTTTTCCCTCCCAAAATCAAATTATTGCCTTCTTGCACTTTTCAGATTTCGATAATGTTTCTTCTTAGCTTTAATTTTCTAATGTGTTTCTGAAAATGATTCTAAAAATACGCATTAAGGGCGTTCTTTACAGAACAAACCTATTAGGATCAGTATTGTTTTGTCTAATCATAAAAATCTCTAACATTAAATCCTTTCTTTTCACATTCTATGAAAGAAGAATAATGTAGAGTAAATTTACAATTGTAGGTGAAGTTGCATAACTTAATTTTTTTTATATGTACTCGCCACAGAAGTCAGAAAGTTTATATAATTTATTCTGCGTTAATGTCACATAACTTTTGTCTGAGAGAGTTATTAGTACATATTTCTGGCTATTTTATAAAATGTATACATATTATTTGAAACAAGGCTTTTTTTTCTGTATGTTCATAATTTCTAATTTTTTTTTAAATGTTCTTTCTACCAAGATTTACCAGAATCTACATTCGTAGTCATTTTCTTAAGACTGAAGGAAATGATTATGTATAATCATTTCATTTTAGAGTGCATCCCAAAAAATGCGCTATAAAGATTTTTTGTACATTTTTTCACATTTTTATTAGTACCATTTGCTTTCATTCGATTCATTTTATTTAATTTTTTTTACATTTTTGTTTATTTATTTATTTAGTTTGACAGAATATCTTAATTTTCTGTATCATTTTTTGAGAATTAAATCAACAAAATTTAGAAATAATTAAGTACAGCAAAGTCAAAATAACACTTAGTCAAAATAGCACATGTTCGATCTCAACCAGTACAAAAACTTGTTCTACACTGGTGACCACTGAAAATGAACACGTAACACTCTCATTCCTTGCCAGATGGTAACTCTACATTATTTCGCCTCGTTCAACAGTTCGATAAACAAATTATCTGAGTCTCAAACAACGTCAAGGCCTGAACTTTCCAGGAGAAAATGTTAATTTACGATCAAGTGCCATATATTTTACGAAACAAATTTACTGGCTGACCTAATGTCGTAATATTTTTACAAGCTTAAATTTAATTTTACAATCAGTAAGTGGAACACTTTTTGCCGGTATCTTACCGTAATCTAGAGTTTCAGAGTGTAAATTACATACGCAAATTTTTCAATATTTTCAATTAAAACAACAAGTTTCCAATTAGAGGTTTTTCCATTAATTTTCAAAGTAATTTCACCTATTTAAGTACTATTATTCTACACATTATTGAAGAATTCTGGCACAAATAGGCATTGAGCATAAAATAGTATTTACGATGGGTGCTTCCGGAATTGACATCCTTGGGAAAGAGATTCCCCTTATACCACTTATAGCGTGAAATCGAAATGTTAATTAAATCATGTTGAGTTTCAGGATGTTCCTTTAATTAAATATTTGTCTATTTTTAAATAAATGATTGTATTTAATTGTCTTTTTAGTGAAATAAATGTATTTAATTATCTTTTTAGAGTGAAATAAATATATTTAATTGCCTTTTTAGTGAAATAAATGTATTTATAATTCCTTTTTTGTGTGTGTGTGTGTGTGGTAAAATAAATGCATTTAAATCCCTTTTTTAGTTAAAAATTGTATTTTTGATTGAATACACGTATTTACTAATTTATTCACAGAATATTTTTATATTCACTGGTGCTTCTATGGGAGAAACTGGAAGGTGAAGAATCTGAGAGACTCTTAAGAATTTCAGTGATAATAAACGAGTATCATCGAAACGCATCTTTGATCGGAATAATTTTACCCCGCTGCATTAATAAATTTCATCTCTGAACGAAATAATTGCAACGCGCATTAGCCACATATATACGTTTCGTTTTTGATCGAAATAATTGTAACGCTCATGCTATTTTATTTAACGTAATAAATATAATAAAACTATTTTCCAGAGTTCTTTTAAGTAATTTTTTGCTTGTTTATTAAATACAAATTTATGAAAAAGAATTCTGAATTGCACATAAGGAAAAACACATTTAATTAGTGGTTTAATAGGAAGAATGAAATGAATGAGAACTTCCGTTCTGATCAGGAAGGACTGTTTTTTCAAAGGGATGCACTTCCGAAGAGATTTATTTATTGGCTCATTCAAAGAAGTTGGAAATTTTATGTGTATAACCACTTCGTAGTCACCAAATATTTATAAGAACGTATGTTTTAAACTTCAAATAGTACATCCATCGAAATCTCAATAGAGTTTATAATGGCTGGAGTTGAGAATACGGCAATCAAAAGAAAATATGATAAAAACGATGTATATATTAGCAATATTATTTTAAAAATTAGATTTATTTTATTCTGTTCTAAGTTATTATTTATTTTCAATAATATTTTTATTGAAATAAATAACTATTATTAAAATTATTAATTTAGAAATTTATTATTGAAAAAATTATGGAAATTTTAAGTTGATTTCAATATTATTATACTTCCATTTCCCTAATTATTATATTTTATTGAATTTCACTTAGTTTTTTCTTTTATAGTTTTTTTTTTGGTTTTTTTAAATTTAATTTTCGTGTTAATGCTTTTACATTTATTTATTTGAATATGTTTTACTATTCCTTTTTAATTTTTATTTAATTTTAATATTAATGCTTTTACATTTATTATTTATTTAATTATGTTTTTCTATTCGTTTTTTTCTTTCGTTTTTTTTAATACAGTATGATTGAATTTAAATAAGAGTTTTAATTTTTTATTTAATGTTTGATCTTTTTATAATTGATAATTTTACTATCTGATTTTCAGATATATTTTATTTCAATTTTGTTACTATTTGATCAAGAACTCAAAAAGATTTGAATATTATAGGAGTGCAAGTACATTGGACACAAAGATGGGAAATTTCGAAGACACAGCATCCCAGAACATGTTTATCCCCTTGCCAACAACCTGTTTCTTACTTTGAATGCTTACAAGAGAAAAGTGAAAATCCATATAAGAACGCATTAACCTCATCGTGAGATGTATTAAACACGGTGTTACTGTAGAAATAGCACAGTGTTGAGCAAATCATACGGTCCACCAATGTCAGTATTCAATATAGTTGACATTAACATGAAATTGGATGCTCCAGATTATCAAGAAAGAGTCCAAATGCAAGATTTCATGAATATCAGAGTCGAAGCGGTCGAATCTATAAATCCACAGTTGAAATAGATTCTATGCAATGGTCAGTCAAGTACGCGACTCAGTGAATTGTAATTATATTAATTTGAAATACAATGCCATAAAGTTAAATGAACTGTTGAAACAAGACAAGTCATGTAGTTGCTCTCAACAATGTGTCTGACGCCTCTTCATCCATGACTATGGAATATAGTGAGCTATCATATTTCTTTAGAAAAAGGACTAAAAACCATACAAAATGCCGACAGAAATCAAAGAAATTAACACTAAATTTACCATAACCGGTCAAATGAACTTTAGAACTTTAGCATCAAAAATGTGCTTGTCATCTTATCTTTTTTGCACAGGTGACTTATGACTTTTTCTAACTATTATATACGGTTAATATTCTATTAATATTATTTTTATTTTGTATTTGTTTGTTTCGAATAATACTTGTCGTATACCTATTTCGACCACAACCGGTCATTTGACCGGGAGAACAATTTATCACTTTATAAGGTAATCGGATTAGAAATAACGATGTAATGCGTGTTCAACGTATTGCATTCGCACTCTTCTGCAAAGACTGTTGCGTAGTTAGTTCAATCAGAATAACTGTAAATTCAAAATTCAAGAAAGTGCCTGAAATTTTAGATAGGCATTTTTGTGTAAGAAAAAGTGACAAAAACTAAATGTTTTAAGAAGTAGCTTATATTTAATTTTGATAATTTTATTTCATTTTCAACTAACTGTTAGTTTTTACCCAGAAAAATGTCGAAACAATCAAAACAGTACGAGTTCTTAG